AATACTTTGCTTTTATCTGTACGACGTATAACAATATCTGACCGGTCACGTAAAAGACGTCGAATACTTTGTACGATTTTTTAGTCACGTTTTGCATGTTTTTCTAATTTTCTGGATAGCTTTTTTGATTGTAATTCATGTAGGATACATTGAAATGCTTGAAATGCTTCTTCTGCTCGTTTATTTGCAGTTGGTATTCGATGATCTTGAAGACAGTTTTTTACACTTTTTGATAAACTTTGATATTATTCAGATACAAGTTGTTCGATAGATTTAGAAGAAAATTGACTTTGACATGGTATAACATATTTGAGATCATTAATAAACATAGACATTTGTTGTGGACTTAAATTTAAATCGACTTCGATAAATGGTAATGAAGCAGTAATTGTAGTATAAATTGACATGTTGCTCCGACGACTACGATACTGCTTCATTCGTTTAAAGTTGTCGAAGCTTCGTCGAAAAAAGTATGCAATTTATGTTTAAGATATAATTCATGACGTTTCTCCATTGCTTGTCGACGATTTTCAATTGCTTGAATCAATAATTCACTGCAACACAGTGCCAATTTATTCTGTAAATCCATAAGTAGTTGTTGATGACCACGTATTATGTTTCGAATAGTGTCAAGATTTAAAGTCATTAAATCAAATTTATATCGTGTAATTGTTTTTGAATAATTTGATACCAAATTAGCACGTCGATCTTTATCAAGAACTTGGTTTGAAAGCATCGGTTGGACGTAGTCCATGAATCGATTAATCGTTTTATCATATGCACTTGGTAATCGTCGTAAGAAAATTCTTTTACGGAGAATTTCTTCTTGTGCTTTTGCTTTTAATATACTTGCTGTTGTTTGCCATATTTGTTTTGCTAGTTGTATCTAAAGTTGAAAAGAATATACAAGTGGAAACATCTAATATGCTGTTTAAACAAACCTGTACTTCATTTGGTTTTAAGTCATAAAATTTTGTAATTAAATTACGATCATTTGAATCTAATGCTAACATTTTCTTTTTATAATCAAATTCTTGTCTTAATCGTTGTTGAGCACTTTTCATACATTCATTTATAGCATTCGATAAAATAGCTGGACGAATGTATGGCTGCCAATGTTTGACATTTTGTTCTGATTGTAATATACATTGTTGTAATTCATTTATTGTACGTTGAAATTGTTGTGTGATGGTTTGTAGACGTTGTTCAACTATATGTTTAGGAAAACCATATGTACGACATGTATGATGTTGTTTAACAAAAGATTTTGATACTCGTGGTGCCCATTTATTTTCTTTTATGTTAAGATCAAAATAATCTTGCCAGAGTTGACGTTGTAAATCGAAATAATATAAATTATTTGTTGTTTCAGTCATTTGATGAACAAATTGAAGTTTTTTATTGGTATTTAAACATTGAACAATTTTATTACCATCTTCTATTGAATTTGATAACATTCGTTGAAATATTTTATCAGAAACTTTTAAATAATTTGGTTTAAATTGTTTGACATAGTTGATTGATAATAATTCATTGTCCTCTTTTTGCTGTTTCTGTTGTTGTTGTACTTTTTCATTAGCATCAGTGACTACATTCGATATTTCGTTATTCGAAGAATTATTTCCTATTGTTGACTTTGTCTTCTTTAGATTTTTTTGTGATATTGATAATTGACTGAAAGATCGACTGACTTGTATGTCGTCTTCATTAAGTTCTTGTCGTTTACGTTTATTTTCTAATCCTGTTCTATGTTGATTGTTCTGTAC